AGCAAAGTGCTTTTTCGTATTCAGCACACTTGATAACCTGGAAAATTTTCTATTTTTAGCGAGGGGTACCGTCAAAAAGTTAAGAAAAATTTTTAAAATTGTTTAATTTTACCATGGGGATTTTTCTGCGTCAATTTGTTTGAAAATTTTTCTTAACTTTTTGACGGTACCCTTCGCTAAAAATAGAAAATTTTCCAGGTTATCAAGTGTGCTGAATACGAAAAAGCACTTTTCTTTAACTCTAAACAAACTTTAATTTTTTCTTATCGGTGATATGAGTTTTACGAGCCCCGTTGGCGGACTTTTGATTGGGGCTCGTAAAAATTTTGTTGTACATGACGACCGCGATATTCTGCGAAAGCGGAAAATATCACATTTTGTTCAGCTCACTTTTCTCTACAAGACTAGATGTAAACAATTCCTTAGTTTTCTTTTGTTCGAACGCCAAGAGACTCGCAAAACAACAAAAATCGCGACGAAATCACGCGTTACGTGGACAGGCCGTTTTCATGCTTTCCATACTTTTCAAATACCTGTTTTAGCTTTCATACTTTTCATCTGCCTTTCTTAGCTGTCATGCTTTTCATCGCTTTCATACATTTTAACCGTTTCACAGTTTTCACGATTTCACAATTAATCAACCGCGTTGAAACAAACCAACAATTGAGTGCAGAAGAAATTGCAAAAAAAAACCAAGAAGACAATAAACAACTTCATCGCTAAACCATCAAAGCACTGCTTATTAGACTCATTTTTGTCCTAACTTCGCACATTTCTTCTTACACTTCACATGCTTTTTATTGTTAAAACCTCAGCGCTGGTCATTGACAAAGGTACGGCAAGTAGAAAAACATACTGACATTGAATACCTAAATACGCGTCGAGTGTCAGGATCAGCCCACTTTTAGCTTACACTTACACCATAACAATATATTTCTGCAGTACATTTCATCGTACACATTTTTTGTGTATTCTAACAGCTCTGCTAATACTACTATCTAGATATGCACTGAGCTTCTAGTATACCCGCAAACTCGAACCGAGCTACGCGAGGTTCAAGCTGCCCGAACTTTGAACTATCCCAGTTCAAGCTATCCGAAAATTTAAAACTACAAAATTGGTTTCTTGTTTATAAATGTAGATTTACATTCTTATATTTTAGTTAAATGAACTTTTTTATATTCTTTTACAAGTTCGGAGTATTGTCAGTCTAACCAATTTCTTATCGTTTTTGAAATCAAGACTTTGCTTGCATCAATATTAACAAAATACTTTACAAAATATACAATTGGTCATCACGGACACAACCTGATCTGTCAACATACATTTCGTAGGTAATATTTTTACTTAAAGTGCTTTCACTTTTCAGCTTTCCATCATCTGGCACAACCTTAATTCCAATAGCTATGCCGAAATTTGAAACTAAGTCAACGAAAGCACGTTTAGCACATTTATTTGATGAAGAGGAAGATGATAGTGATGAGTAAGTTATGTTCTCTACTATATTTGAAGCCATTCAAGTACTTGATTTCTTTTAATAGAATTCAATCTTTTACTCATCCATCAAATTCAAAATTTCACGAACGCTATTCAAGATCTTCAACGAAATGCGCCAAACGCTATTCTTCGATCTCAGACCTTGAGTCAATGAGTAAATATCTATTTTCGGTTTAGATGTTCAATAATATAATAAAATTTATCTCTTTTCCTAATTAAGATGATGATGAGCCTGCGCAAGGAACAGTATCATCCTCATCATCAAGAATCGGAGACCGTTCTCCCCAACATTTACTAGTTGGCATCTGTTAATATGAATGATTTACTGCCACAACCATCTCATAGCCAAAGTTCTGCGGTGCGATCTATCGTTCCCGACGTTTTGCCACATTTACCACAACCTCTAGCACAATGAAAACAGAATCCAAGAAATCGTCCAGAACGAAGGTACGGCGAAGAGATAACAAGTGGTAATCTGCTACATGAATTAAATGAAAACGCACTGAATCCGCTGCCTTCACAAAAACGACGATCGACAACATCTACAAATAAACGCACTGTACCAGCGAGTGACGTATCTTCTTCATCTCCCGTAATTCCGAACAATCCCTTTTCTATTATTCAAGTTATACCAAGTACCAATTCAATAAGCATATCATCACCGCCTCCAGTTCAACAATCTGTTCTATACCATATACTTTCGTTAAACCCAATAGGTTTGAATTAAGCAGTGAAATACTTTTACTATTCATTCAACTTGTTTTGACTTCAGAGTCATGCACTGTGTTTATGTTTGTTATTTTCTGTTAAGGTTGACTTCTGTAAGCACTCGGAGTTGATTTGTTTTTGAAAAACACACAATTTAAAAATGAAAGAAATACTTGTGGTTACGACATTCATTAACTAAGTGCAAGTGATAATTGTGCGAGTATAAAAACTTTGAATAAAAACAGATTTTAGTGTATTTAAACCGAATCGGAGAATTCTTTCTACTTCGTTTTCCTACAAGACTTGAAAATCGCAGTGCCAACACTCATGGAAAAGCTACCAAAAACAAATCGTTTTCGCTTACTTCGAAGTCCATTAAGAAAAATCGTTCGTTCACTTTAAACTTTTGTCAGAATGTAGTGCAGACGTTTCTGAATACTTACTGTTGCGAAGATATGAATCGCTTTTGAGTTTTGAGTACCGAGAAAACTCGATCTTTTAAAGACCTGTGTTTTTCAGCTGTAAATCCACAGACCGTTGCAAATAGGAACAAAACACGTACGAGCGTTGGAATTAGGTACACTGTGCCTAATTCTAACGGATACAGTTTCATTTGACAAATAAATATCTCCGTAACTACAAGATATTTTTTAATAAACATTTGGCATCGAAGAGATCAAGTGAAGATGAACATATTTCATGAAAACGTTCTTCTGACTCAGTACTTAAGGCAGCAAAAACAAAAGTTTTCTCACTACTTTTCTTTTTGTCCCGTATTTTCCAGTGCCCGTTGGAAATACGAACAATGATCCTCACATGATCCCTGTATGCTCTTTATATGATCCTGGATGATCTGTTGACACTAGGAGATTTTGATCTTGACTCTGTTTCAATAAAGTTTACGGTATTAGAAGCCTCTAGTACGACAAATGCAGAGAAAACGCGTAGATATGTGTCGTTGATACCGTAGACGCAGCTAATGTGGGTAAAAGTTTGAGTTCTACCGACATTGTAATAAAATGTAGTACTGTGATGAAGATTATGTTTTGGTAGCGCATATATATGTATGAGATACTGAGATTACGACGTGTCGAAAAAATGGTCTGATCGAGCAGAGATTTTTACCACATTTATTTTAGACTCTATCTCAGGTTAGTTCTTTTAAACAGTGTCGATTTCAACTTTTCGCGTGAGAAGGTTTTTAGAATAAAACATATTTTATACAGGATGTTTAGTATTTTTCCAATATCTCTAAGAATATCTTTCTAAAAAGAATACTTCGATTT